GCCCCGACCTTCTCAGGGCCTCACAGGGCCTGCTGTGAGTCCCTTCCGTGGGTACGGGCCGCCCTCGCAGAGCCACGCAGTGGACAAGCTCTGCGCGTGCACTGCCATCCCCCGCACGTGGTGACAAGATTTGCCTCTTGTCAGCCACAGCTCACTCCTCCAGCCCCAAGCGGTCACGCTGAACAAAGGTCAGGGGGAGGCCAGCATGGTGCTGCCAGTTCGCCCATATTTTGACTGCACGTGAACGGGAAGCGCCGGGGCGGGGTGGAGGTGGTCCTGAGAACTTTCTGAGGTTTACACCCAACCTGCAGAGTCTGTGTGGAACCTCTCCACCCCTACCCCCAGCGTATTCCCCCAGCCATCAGTTCATCCAGGGCTTCCTGAGAACAGGCCCAGAAGATAGGAAGTCATGGGGGAGGCAGGTACTGGCTTCGGACAAGTGGCTGGGCCCTGAGCCTCAGCTCCCTCCTCTAGGGAAGGGAAAAGATTCAGCCCTGCAGAGGGTATTTGCAGCACCCTGACAGGCAGCATCTTGATAAGGGCCGATACGTGCCAACTGCCAGCCCCCGTTCTGAGCGCTGCACAGTTTCTCCTGACAGCTCTGTGAGGTGGCTGCTGTGGCTAGTATCCCCACTTCTCAGATGAGGAGACTGAGGTACAGAGAGGGGACGTGAGTTGCACAACAGCAGGTCCACTGGCCCAGCATCCAGAGAGCTCACCACTTTACCCCCACACTTAGCCTGCCAGCTCTGAGGGCTGGGTGAAGCCTGCCTGGCTTGCTGCTCATGGAAGACCCTCAGGAGGTGGAGGAGGGTGGGGGTGGGAAGTCCCCGGGTGAAGGATGGAGATTGAGAGTGATGGTTCCCCAGCTGTGCTGGTGCATTCAGAATGTGGTCCAAGCCTCAGCTTCGGCCGTGTCCTTTCGTTACCAAAGTCAGCGATACAGGAGCCTTTCCATCCCCACTTCCTTGACTGGAGGCGACCGTAACAACAGGTGCAGAGGAGACAAGATGGGGCTGCTTGGTTCTCTGGGGTCCAGTGGCCACGTGCCTGCCATTACCTAAGGCTGTGTGTGGCGCCCTCCCAAGATCCCCTCCCCAGTGTGACATAACCCACAAGGTGGGGACACTGAGGCAGACAAGTTAGGTGGGGGCCTGGTTGGCTTCTTGTGGCCTTCAACAGACCAGCCCCATCTCCACCTTGGGCCTCACCCACAGGGAAATTAATGGTGTTTTTACTGGGGGTAAAAAAAGACTAGAACTTACAGCTTGGAATGGATTGACACTGTAAATTCTTGCACGGCGCTTTGTAGGTCCACAGCCTCAGCCTCCAGGTCACGGTTCAGAAGGTTTTAACAATACAGAGTCCAGAGAGGCTCTCTAATAAAGGTTTCTTTTTAAAAACGTGAGTGGTAGCAGCCTGAAACCGGTTTCATCCCAGCACGATGCAAACGTGTCATCACACAGCTGCAGGGACTTGGCTTCAACCCTGGTCCCTTTGAGAGGCCTCAGGGTAGAGGTGCAGCCTGTCTGCGGCCCACCGAAGGTCTGTGTCCCCTTGACAGCCAGGAGATGTGGACAGGGTGGGGCTGCCCCAAGCAGCAGCTCTGTTGGGACATGAGCCTTTGTGGATCCAGGCCTTGGAATCTGAGGCAGGGGGCACACGTGGAGACCCAAAAGGTTGACCCCAACCCAGTGGGTGCTCCCGTTCAATCACCTCAAAGACTTCGCAGGTAGCTGCCATTGCCAAAGAACAGAGACATGACACCCCCAACTCTCCACCTGCCAGCAGGGTTCTGCCCCTGAAACCTCACAAGTTCCTGCAAGGAAAGGAGACAAGGGGTAGGGGGAAGAGTCACACAGGGCCAGGCTCCCCAGAACTCCTCAAGGGCAGGTCCTCTGAGCCATTGTCCACCCCTCTTGGGGCCCATCCTCTCTCTGACCTGGTCCATGCCCTGGCCTCGCCCTATTTCATCTCCCAGGCTGGCCCCCATGAGGGATTCTTGAGCAGCTCACTTCAGGGTCAGTGTGGATGGCTATGAGATGCAGACAAACCCCACAGAGCTTACAGAAGGCTATTGTAGGGAGCCCATGGGATTCAGGAGCAAAGGAATGTTGAACATCAAGTGGATGCCCAGAGAGTCACTTGCAACCTTTTTTGAATCTTGGACAGAAGCCGGGCCTGGTGCTCTATCCTGTCTCCCCACCAGCCTCCTCCCTGCTTCACTGAGCCTTTCCTGCCTGTGTGCTTGGCCCCTACTATCCCTCCTTTCCTCCACCCTCCTCGAGTCCACCCTCCCAGCACCAGGGGTGGTCAGAGGCTCCAGCCCTGTTCCTGTGGGAACAGCAACCATGAGCACCCACCTCCCCCCATATCTTGGCCCCTAAGTTGTCCTCCCCCAAACCTTTTTGATCATGTTGGGCCACGTCCTGCCAGGCTGGCCCTTCCACTCAACCGTGAACGGGTCATGACTATAAAAGGTATCCGTGGGCTTTCTGGGTCAAGACGATGGACTGGACACATGCGTCTCACTTGGTCCAGAAGCCCACTGAAACCACAGAGAGCCCTTAAAGCAAACCCTTGAGAATTCCCTGGCGGTCCATTGGTTAGGACTCTGCACTTCCACTGCAGGGGGCTCGGGTTCTATCCCTGGTTGGGGAGCTAGGATTCCGCAAGCGGCACGGCCAATAAATAAATTAACTATAACACAAACCCACAAATATGAGGATGGTAAAAGAGGAGGCAACGGCATTCTGAAGCTAGAAGTAGGGGGTGGGGGAGCTGTCACTGATTTGGGGAAAGCCAAATGCTGAGTTGGCGCTGGCGGAAGTGGAAGGAGATCCCATCAGGCTTACGCTGCAGAATTCCAGAAGGCTTGAAAACCAGCAGACCCCTGGAAGGGGAGACCCAAAACAAAGATGACTGAGTGGGAGCTCCTGGAGAAGCTGTTAGAGCTCCAGCTCTTCCCACAGGGTAGATGGTGGAAGAGTCCTTTCTGGGGAATCCGAACAGTCCCAGAGAAAAAATCAAATCCCTGGTAGCCAGGGATTCCTAGTATTAGAAGAAACTCAAACAGGCAGGCAGATGCACCTTAGGATCGAATAAATAAGTCATGGTTCCGCCATTTGATGTGTGGAAGCAAAACACCCTGACCCACAGTCAGATTTTAAAAACAATAACATCGTCTACTGATATATACTAGTTCTGGTCCCCAAAGTAAATAAAAGGCTGAACACGTCCCATAATTCTGGACAAAAACCTCCAGCCCTCACTTTGCAGTATTGATCTAACTGAAGGCATGTCTGAGACTCTGAGGGTATTAAATCATGGAACAGTTTCTTCATCAGGAGATGGGTGCCTGCTGTCCCCGCATATCAGCAGGGCGCTCAGCAGTGGTCGAATGAAGGACCCCAGCACCATCCTCGCTGGAGAAATTCCCGGGGATGGCGGAGAAAGCCGATGGGTTAGGCTAGCCTTCCCGGTAGGTCCCTGCTTCCTCCTAGGACCTCGGGCCGTTGTCTTGGAAACAGCTGGAGCAAGTTGGTTTTGCTCCCGGGGTTACCAAGGCGTCCGCCGGGCGACCAGAAAGAAGCCTCAGGTAGGGCTCTGGGGGAGGAGCCTAGGCAGAGCGCCAACCCTGATTGACCGAAAGGTCACGCTCCTCCCCATCCGTCACCTCCTGCCAATAGGCGCCGGGCCTGCTGTGCACATGCGCAGGATTCGAAGGTACCGTCCGTCTCCGCCGTTGGTGAGTCCTAGGGTGCGATACAAAGGGAGAGCGGCTGCCAGGGAGGGGAAGGAGTCCCCCAAACCCTGCGATTCTGCAGATTCCTCTCGGAGGGATGGGGCGCCTCTCAGTCGTGAGAGGCCTCCGAAAGTGATCATCTACTGGCGGAGGCCGCGCCCGTCCCTGTTTGCTGAGGCTCATGGGAAATGTAGTCCGAAGGGAGGGGGTGGTGCTGCCTTCGAAGCAGACGTGTGATTGGTCAGGGCGGCGTCGCCAGAGCAACGCGCGAGGGGCTGACGGCTGGGTTCGGGGAGAGGCGCGCGGGACCGCGTGGGCCCACTTACCCGAAGTGGCCTCGGGTGGCCGAGGTGAGCACCGGCCGGCTGAGTGGGCGTGGCCTTTCCACTACCTCCCGACGTGCCCCACCTCCGAGCCTTCTCCCGGGCCCCTCCTCCCTTCCGCAGCCCCGTTCCTCTCCTTCGGGAAGACCTGCCCCCCTTTCCTCTGTGGAAGGCGGACTCCAGGAGTCAGGCCTAGTCCAGCCTATCGGACAGGCCCCCCCACCCGCAAAGTGGGCGTGTTTCACTCCAGACCCTCTGCAGGGCCGGGACACAGTTGCCTGTCCACCGCTCCACATAACTCGTGATTCCGTTTTGCTTTGCTTCTGCGTTTCACACGCACGGTCCATACCGTGTGAGTCATGCACAGCTCTCCGCGGTCAGCGAGCACGGTGTCTCGGGGTCCACATCAGCCCTTGCCTCGAGCCATGGCGCAAGCCAGCCCCTCAGGGTGCCCCACTTGGGTCAGCGTGTCCCGGAGATGGTGGGGACAGGCAGCCTGGCCCCAGTTCTCACCCTGGATCACGGCCCCACCGCGTCCCTGGCTACCCCGTCTTTCCGCCGCGGGGGCACCTGCCGGGGCTCCTCAGCGTGACCCTGGAAGCCTGTGCTAACTCCTCTTGCCTGCGCTCCAGCATCATCTCCCGACAGACATTTCCCTGCAGTTTCCTGGAAGCTCCACTGGCAATTTGCCTCCAAGTGTCGGTTCCTTCTGCTCTCAGTTCCAGCTCCTGTGACCCCTCCCTCCATGAAGCTTTCCCCAATTCAGCCGCAAGCATCCCCACACCACGGTCCTCTCTGTCACAGCCTCAGCCCCCTGGGCTGGGCCTCTCTGCACAGTGCCTTACCCTGGCTGTGGCCTTGTGGCTGGCACCCTGACCCCTCCTTTCCTGCAGGTCCCCCTTGGTGGCTCCAAGAAGACTCCCGGCACAACAATGCCATCCCCACTGGGCCCCCCGAGTCTGCCCTCTGTGGACCCCGAGGCCACCCTGGAGGATCCTGAGGCAGCACGCCAGCGCTTCCGGGGCTTCTGCTACCAGGAGGTGGCCGGTCCCCGTGAGGCCTTGGCCCAGCTCCGGGAGCTCTGCCACCAGTGGCTGCGGCCCGAGGTGCACTCCAAGGAGCAGATGCTGGAGCTGCTGGTGCTGGAGCAGTTCCTGGGCGCGCTGCCCCCCGAGATCCAGGCTTGGGTGCGGGGACAGCAGCCAGGCAGCCCTGAGGAGGCCACTGTCCTGGTCGAGGGCCTGCAGCATGACCCTGGGCAGCTGCTGGGCTGGGTGAGTGTGGTGGTGTTGGCTTCTTGGAGCGACAGAGTGAGACTAGCGCCCCAATGACTTGCCTCTCTCCCTCAGATTACAGCACATGTCCTGAAGCAAGCGGTGCTCCCAGCCACACAGAACAAAGAGGAGTCTGTGGGGAGCTCCCACCCTTCAGGGACAGTGGAGCCCCTAAAGGCAGCCTCTTGGGAGGGGTCCAAGGAAGCCCAGTTGGAGGGGAACGCCCAGCTCAGCTGCAGCGTGAAGGAGGAGCCTGATGGCTACGGGCAGGAGACAGGTGAGAGCGGGGGTGCGCGAGGGCTGGGGCCTCCTTGAGAGAGTGCGAACGTCCCCAGCTAGGGCGGGGAACCCAGGTGAGGTTGTGCTGGAGCTGGGGGCTCTGGAGGGAGTGCGGGTGTCCCCCCCTGGGAGCGGGACCCGCAGGGACTGCAGACAGCAGAGCGGGGTCCCCGGGAGGCCGGAGGGAAGGGCGGGCTGCCTGCCTGCTTGCTATGTGCCTGGCGCACACAGAGGACTCCTCCCTGCTGCCAAGGAGGGCCCAGGCTGCGACGCCAGCGCCAGCTCCTCGCCTGCTCTGGCTCACGTGGGAGCCCCTGACCCCTGTCTGCCTTGCTTCCTAGCACCGTCCAGCCCCCCACATCCAGCCCGGTCCCATGAGGGGCCCGCTGAACAACAGGAGCCGACCTCCGTGCCCTTTCAGCCACCCAGGATTCAGGTGAGCAGCCCCTGGTGGCAGGGGCAGGCCCACAGTGGGAGGAGAGTGTCCTGCCAGCTGTCCAGCTCCTTGGCCAGCACTGCTTGTGCTGTTTGCGCCCCCAAAGTGGAGTTGGTATCAGGGCAGCCCCTGCAGGTCCTGGGGGGCATGGGGACACACCAGTGCTTGGAAAGGATTTTGGCCTCAGGTAACTGGGATTCTGGTTTAGAGTGATTGGAACTGGCAGGGGTTGGCTTCCCACTTACAGAGAAGCCAGTTAGGGTGTTGACAGCTCCCAGCAGTTCTGAGCTGGCACCTGGGGAGGGGACAGGATGACCAGGAAAGCCTGAGTGCCACCCAGCAGTCTGGCCTCCCCTGCACACCTGAGATCAGAGTGGACACAATCTTCCCAGGAAATGCCCGCAGCTCCCCCTCTGCCTGGGCTTTTCTCCAAGGCCAACCAGCCCTCAGCTGCGACCAGCTGGGCATGGAAACCCCTGCCACCCAGAGGGCTTGGTTCCTGAGTGTGGGCAGCAGGGGTCTTGTCCTCTCCCAGAGACACTTCCTAATCCACTCCACACTGAGAAGTTGCCCAGGACCCAGCCGCAGCCTGAAGGCCATGGTTGCTTCCACCCCCGGCACCCAGGAGCCAGCCCAGCCATGTCCTGAGTAGGAGGCTGTGCCTGGCCCTCTGCGGCACCTGCCTCCCTGCAGCCCGGTCCCCACAGCCAGGGACGCTGAGGCCCGTGGCACTTCCCCAAGGAGGATCTCCATTACTCTCGAAACCAGAGGCCTGGGAGAGGTGCTTGGGGTCCCTGCATTCCCCTGGCCTTTTGCTGTCGGTGCAGCACACACTGTTCAAGGCCCATCCTTGATGGGTCCTCAGCTTCCATCTGTGCGTCCAGAACATGGGGTGGGGCAGCTGAGGGGGACTGGTGCATCCCCAGGTGAGCCAGAAGGCAGCTCCCTTCCCGGCCCTGCATCCCCAGCGCTCACAGGTTCCCATCTCAGCTTCCTCTTTAGCCCCACCCCCAGGCAGGTGAGGGTGGTTTACCTGCCGCTCCCCAGGTGATTAACAAGGCTGGGCCCACGGGATGGGCCGGGTGGGGTGCGGGGTAGACGGGCCTTCTGTGGGTGATGGGCCGCGTCCCTGCAGGAGGAGTGGGGGCTCCTGGACCGGTCACAGAAGGAGGTGTACTGGGACGCGATGCTGCAGAAGTATGGCACGGTGGTCTCCCTGGGTGAGGACCCCTCTCCTCCGGGTCCTTGCGCGCACCTTGCCTCCCGGCGCTTCCCAATCCGCACCCTGGCCACCCGCCGGGGCCCCCACCCCTGTCCCTCATTTGTGCGAACCCCTCACGCCCCCGTGCCAGGGCTGGCGCCTGATGGGCCCCCGACCCCAGCAGGGTTGCCGTGCCCCCTGCCGGAGGCGCGCACTGAGCCGGAGCCGGAGGCGCTGAGCACCGGATCCGAGGGAGCGAGAAGCCTCCCCCCGGGTGAGTGGCCTCCCGCTCCCCGGTGGCGACGGGGGCGGAGGGCGGGGAGCCCAGGCCGCCCCGCGCCTGGGGGGCTGCGGGCGGAGTCACCAGGCGACCTGGCTCTGCCACCTCTGCCCCCCCCCGCAGGAGGAGAGAGCGAGAGCTCGCGAGAGGGCCGGCCCGGCTGCCCGGAGGCCCCGCCCCCCGCGCGGAGCAAGCCCTACACGTGCGCGCAGTGCGGCCGCACCTTCGACTGGAAGTCGGTGTTCGTCATCCACCGCCGCGCGCACGCGGGCGGCCCGGGCGCCGAGAAGCAGCCGGTGGGGCCGCCCCGGCGCGCGCTCCCGGGCCCGCGCAGCTACGCCTGCGAGGAGTGCGGCCGCAGCTTCAGCTGGAAGTCGCAGCTGGTCATCCACCGCAAGGGCCACGCCGGCCAGCGGCGCCACTTCTGCGGCGACTGCGGCCACAGCTTCGACTGGAAGTCCCAGCTGGTCATCCACCGCAAGAGCCACCGGCCCGAGGCCCCGTGAGCGCAGGGGGGGCGCCTCGCCGGGGCCCCGGGCCCAGCCCGCCCCTGCTACTCCACTCCGCCGCAGCCTGGAGAGCTGGAGGCCGCCCAGGCCAGAAGTCAAGAGTCCCAGGAGGGTCCCCCACCCCCGCTCAGTCTCCCCGCAAAGCCGAGGCTCCCTCCTCTCCGGTCTCGCCCACCCCACCTTTCGGAGAGAGAGGCCTGGGCTCCAGTGCACCGACCCACCGGACCCGCGGCGGCCAGGTGACTTCCAAACCCCTTCCTGTGACATGGTGCAGGCCGGTGCAGAGAGCACAGCCTGCTTCTGTTTGCAGTCAGGTGGAAGGCTAAAGTCTGTCCACTGTGCGTTTTAGATTTTTAACAAATTCTAGTTTTATCCTGGAGAAGCTTCTGCGTAAGAATCCTGATCTCTGGTCCCTGCTGGTCGAATCAGCAGCCCCTGCCCTTCCTGCCCGGCAGTTGGAGCCTCAGAGCTGCCTGCCCACGAGCAGGGTCGGTGTCCAGCTTACCTGTTCCTCGGCCACACACATCACTCCCTGGCCTTGTCCTTCCAGCTGTCGAGTCCCAGCCTGAACGGACCTTAAGGGAACTTCTTTCCAAGTATGGATGGACAAGCATGGCGTCTGAGAACAGATGTGACTTAGGCCATGCGTGCTGGCAGATGAGTGAGACAGAGCAGGAGGGCAGAGGATCAGCTGCCTGCTGCCCACGGCAGTCCGTCTGTGGGCATTCAGGACTTTGGCCAGTGTACCGTAGTACATTCCTACTGCTGCTTTAACGAGCTCGGTGGCCTGAAACAACACAAAACATACTCTCTTAGGACTCTGCATTGGGTCTCACTGGGCCCAATCAAGGCGTCAGCACGGCTGGTTCCTTCTGAAGGCTCTAAGGGGGGAATCCACTTTAAGGCTTTTTCTAGCTTGTAGAGGCTGCCACGTTCCGCGATGGTGGCCCCTTCCTCCGTCTTCAAAGCCAGCAGTGGATGGTTAAGTCTCATGCTGCCTCCCCCTTGTAAGGACCCTCAGGGTTCCATCTACGGCTCCCCTGGTAACCCGTGATGATCTCCCCATCTCGGGGTCACATCTCATCCATGCCCCACCTACACACCTGATCTCATCTGCAAAATCCCTTCTGCATGTGAGACAACATTCACAGGTTCCAGAGATTAGGACACGGGTGTCTTTGGGGACTGTTATTCCACACCCTTCTCTGTCACCTTTCTGCTCTGAATACAAGGGACATTTTTGTGGGAAGTGGCTTCAGGGAAACAGGTGCACCCACAGAAGGAGCCCTCTGCAGCCTCAGGCTCATGCAGGGGTGGCAGGTGGGTGTTGAGTGTGGCTGTGACCATGGTTACTAGCAGAGGTGGGGTGGACACCTGGGCTGCGTGGGGGGGGACCTTGCTGCAGCCTGAAACTGGGAGGGAGAGGCCTCCATCTGGAGGACCCGTCTCCTCCATCCCCAGTCTTCTGAGGACCTTTGACCTGTCGACCACACTCAGGTCTGGGGAAGCAGAGCCAGGCTGGAGATGGAGCTGGGCACTGGTGATCTTGTTACCGAGTCCAAGCTTGTACTGCTGGCCGCACCACAGGCCAATAAATTGAGAGCCGAGTTGCTGAGGCGAGGAATAGTGACTATTCAGAAAGCCAGCAGACTCGGGACTTCCCTGGTGGCGCAGTGGTAAGAATCCGCCTGCCAGCCTAGGGGACACGGGTTCGATCCCTGGTCTGGGAAGGTCCCACATGCCGCAGAGCAACTAAGCCGGTGCGCCACAACTACTGAGCCTGCGCTCTAGAGCCCACGAACCACAACTACTGAGCCCGCATACCTAGAGCCTGTGCTCCGCAACAAGAGAAGCCACCGCAATCAGAAGCCTGCCGCAACTGGAGAGAAAGCTCGCGTGCAGCAACGAAGACCCAACGCAGCCAAAAATTAATTGAAAAAGAAAGTGCTGGCCTTCCCTGGTGACACAGTGATTGAGAATCCACCGCCGATGCAGGGGACACGGGTTCGTGCCCCGGTCCGGGAAGATCCCACATGCCGCGGGGCGGCTGGGCCCGTGAGCCATGGCCGCTGAGCCTGCGCGTCCAGAGCCTGTGCTCCGCAACGGGAGAGGCCACAGCAGTGAGAGGCACGCGTACCACAAAAAAAAGAAAAAAGAAAAAAGAAAGTGCTTTTAAAAAAACAGAAAGCCAGCAGACCAAGAAGGTGGTGCACTCGTGCCCCAAAGAACCATCTTGCCTGAGTTAAAATTCAGGTGTCTTTCATACTGAAAGGGGAGGGAGTAAAGTCAAACATTTCCTGGCTCAGATCAGCCCCGGAAGGGGATGTGTTCATTTCTTCTCCCTGCAGTCATTCACAGGGGGGCCTGGTCAGGAGGTTTCCTGTGAGCTGAACAAAGGTATTTTAGCTTAATGCCCATTATACCTGGGAGGCAGGGCTCCCAGAAATGGGCCATTGTGTATATTGAAGCTTATAGGCAACATCCCTCCAGTTACTAACTTGTAACAGAATACGAAGGTGCTTCTCTGTTACAATCTGATTGGCAAGCAGGAAGCTTCATCCATGCCGGGGACACGGCGGAAGAGGACAGAGCAGGGTCCGAGCGCTCAGGCCAGGCCGAGGGCCCAACGTCAGGACCGCCAGGTGCTGAGGGAGAGCGGTGGGCAATCTTCTCATGCAATTTTCCATATCTAAAAGTAGTTTATGTTCACTTAGAGAAATCTGAAATATACAAGAGGGCAAAGGAGATCGCAAAAACGATCCCTAATGCTGCTGTGTTATTCTCAGTGTTCATCCGCGGGGGTTTGTGTCACACAGCTTGTGAATCGTGCTCTCACCACGCAGCTCCCTGTGTTATTAAAAGTGCCGGGGTGGAAATCCCGTTTTCTGGCCGGCAGTGTTGTTCCCACCAAGCCCAGCTAGTTCCTTGTTTCCCGCCCCCCTTAGCACCCAGTGCTGTGGTGGCTGCACCTGAGCAGACACCCCAGATGCAACCTAGCTGTTTCCGGGAGCATGGGATTTCTGTTCTTGTTTTTTCCTTTTTCTTTTTGTCTTGAAACAAAACATTATTTTATAGTTCTGGAGGTCAGGAGTCAGGCACAGCCTCACTAAGCTAAGCTCCAGGTGCGGCAGGGTTGAGTGCCTTCTGTGAACTCTGGGAGAACCCATCCGCGATGAGAGACGCCACTGCAGTGAGAAGCCCGCGCACCGCATCCCGTGTGCTCGACTTTTCCACCCTAGAGATGGCCTGCGAGCCGGGCTCATGGCCCTTCCCCACCTTCTGAGCCAGCGGTGGCCAGTTGGCTCTCTCCCACAGGGCGTCACCCTGCCACTGTCCTCTGCCTCACCTTCCCCCTCGGAGGGTCCTCGTGGTGATGTTGGGCCCACCCGGATAATCCAGAACAATTTTTTTTGTTTTATTTATTTATTTATTTATTTTGGCTGCATTAGGTCTTCGTTGCTGCACGCGGGCTTTCTCTAGTTGTGGTGAGCGGGGCCTGCTCTTCATTGCTGTGCACGGGCTTCTCACTGCGGTGGCTTCTCTCGTTGCGGAGCACGGGCTCTAGGCACACGGGCTTCAGTAGTTGCGGCACGCGGGCTCAGTAGTTGTGGTGCGCGGGCTTAGTTGCTCCACGGCATGTGGGATCTTCCCAGACCAGGGGTCGAACCCATATCCCCTGCATTGGCAGGCGGATTCTCAACCACTGCGCCACCAGGGAAGCCCTGGGCCATGGGAGTTTTAAATTCTCATGGATACGTCAGTGTCTTCCGGAAACGTGGGCCCTGCCTGTCTGCCTTCCCTCCAGAAGGGCTCCCTGGCAGCTAGAACGCCCTGGACTCCCGTTCTCTACCGTCTTCTCCAACCTGCAGGCAGAACCCAAGTGCACTGTTTCTCCAAGGATGCCAGGCAGGCTGCACCCTCCTCCCCACAGCCGCTCACGTGGGTCTCCTCTCCCGTGAATGCACGGTGTGGGCCACACCGTTGGTCACATCTTCATGCATCTGATCTGACTTTTGAATTTTCACGTAGTCAGATCCATCACCGTCCTCATCTTCTGTCGCTTTTTTGTTGTTGTTGTTAAATATTTCTTTCTTTGGCTGTGCCGGGTTTTTTGTTTTGTTTTGTTTTGTTTTTGTTTTTTTTCATTTATTTATTTATTTGGTTGCCCCAGGTCTTAGTTGCGTCAGGTGGGCTCCTTAGTTGTGGCATGCAAACTCTTAGTTGCAGCATGCATGTGGGATCTAGTTCTCTGACCAGGGATCGAACCCGGGCCCCCCTGCACTGGGAGCGCAGTCTTAACCACTGTGCCACCAGGGAAGTCCCTTCCCTCGCTTTTCTTAGACCGCTTGCCCCAGCCAGCTCAGCAGCATGGTCAGCCTGCAGGGCAGCTTCCAGAATCTACCTCTTCGCGTTAAAAACCGGGCCAGGCCACCCCCCGCGTGGCACCCCCTCACCCCTGCCATCCCCTGGGCTGCCTCTGGGCTGAGGCTGCAGGAGGTGTCTTCCTGCCCAGTTCCAGCTGCTCGCCCCCCGCCCCCAGTCTCCTCTGATCCCCACGACCACCCCAAGCGCCTCTCCCCCTCGCCTGCGTCTCCCTCCAGCCCCTTCTCCTTCCTTGGCCGCTGCTCCTGAGGTCAGCCTACTTGAGGTGACCCAGTGATTGGCAGAGCCAAAATCTGACGCGGGTCCGTTTGACTGTGGAAGCATCTGTGGATGTGGGGAAAGGCTAAAAGCAAAGCCCGATTCTAGGTGCCTCCCTAACTCCTGAAAGCAGGAGAGCCCCAAGGGCAGGTAGCAAGTCCCCCTCCCTCCCTCCGCTACTCCTGCAGTAACAGCCCCAAGTCACACAGCCCTCCTCATCAAATGGCTGATCCTGCCAAGCCTGCAGAATTATTCCAGAAAGCCAGTCACATCCTGCAGCAGGGGCCAGGGACCACCCAAGAGCACGTGGCCCTGTGTGGTGTGAGGTGCCCTCCTCCGCAGGCTGTGAGCTCATC